ACTCAGGGTAAACTGCTTATTGCACAGCTCCCTTGTCGAACTATGTTGTGGTTCTAGGGAGAGCAAAAAGCAGTGGGCGTTTTTGATGAATCGTGTTATACAGAAACATCAGCTTATGTCTCAATCTCTTAACCAAAGCGTATCGAGCTGGAATTGTTCGCAGCGCACCCGATTGTTCTTAGGGGATGTTTTGCCTAACAGAAGTTTAGTAAATGAGTTCTGTATTTTTTCCAAAGATACTCTGTCAGATTTCCTCACGCTGCCACAGATGAGACTGTAGTAATCCAAAAGGGGGCGAGTGAGGTTTTGAAGAGTTGTATTCTGGCTGGAGTTATGTGGATCGTGTACGGTATATCAGCTCTTGATTTTCTCGCCCTAGCCAGCTGGTATTCCACTTGTTCAGAAAATTTGAACGTGCAGGAATACCTGATTCCGAGGTCGCAGATAGACAGCTGTGTTCACCGTTGAGTGTAATTGATCCCTCGGGTATCGAACAGCCGCGATACATGATGCTAGAATTTTTCGCCGAGAACTTCATCATCCAGGTGTCGCACCATTTCTCAAGGGATTGGAGGTCTTCCTGTATGAGCAGTAATGTATCTTGAAGTTCAGCTCGTCGGAATTTGTAGACTCTCTTTATGTCATCTGCAAATAGAAAAGGCATGCCATGACTGATAACTGCGCTGATGTCATTGAGGTAGAGCAAGAACAGTAACGGAAAGAGTACACTCCCTTGGACACCACCATTAGTGATTGTACGTGGGGAAGAGTGGTGGTCGGCTTTGGTAAGTACCTGAGAATGGCCGCTCAGGTATGACAACAGCCAGACTAGGAGTGCGTCCTGGATTCCAAAGGGAGCAATCTGTTTCAGCAGCCGTTTATCGGGCACTCGATCGAATGACTTTTCTATGTCCAGGAACAGAAGTAAGGTTGCGTTTCCGGAGTCAATATATTTCGAAACATGGTTTATATAATGTGATTGGCAGGTTATGCACGATTGCTTTTCCAGGAAACCATACTGCGACCTATCTAATAGTTCCAGCGAAATGCTGCATCTCATCACACCATTCTTAACCAGTTTCTCCAATATTCTGGCTAATACAGGGGTGTAATGAATTGGCCGGTAATCCTTACATATACTCGTAAGTAGCAGTATTTTAATTGTAAAGTTGCTAGGTCTTTCATCCCAGTAGTTTACAAGCTACATAACAGGGCCTAGCCCGGAAAACCATCAGACGTGTTTCGCCCTATTGGGGCTGGGCATTGGTGCGCATTCCCTCTGTCTAATAATGAGGATCGAACCCATGACCGCTATAGGCAGACGCCATTTAATAAGCGGCTTAAGCCAATAAGCTATGGTCTACATAATTTGCAAACTAATTCTTAATTTCTTGTTAGGAGCCACCTTTGTGACGGGTGTCTGGAAAGTAGCTTGATTCTAACGAAAGGATAAACATCTTCAGCAATAGTAGCGGCGTATCAAGCGCTCCCAGTTTTATGACGGTAAGTGGGATACCATCGGAATCCAGATGGGAAGACGGTTTAGCAGATCCTGTTAAATGTTGGATAGCAATGATAGAAAATTCAGTGTTATCCAAGGCGTTGGTTGTTTGCATCCCAATGCTTGCATTTAACGGGGTCGTCTCCAGACTCATGGCGGTAGCGAAAGATGAGCTAAACGCTTCGCAGATGTCGGCTGGATCATGTATGGGCTGTTCGACTGCATTGACCAGCCCATCGATCCTAGGGGGGGGGGTGGTTCTTAGTTCCGCGACGCAGAATTTTAACAAGTTCTTTCGTTTTACAAGTCGTTCGTAAAGCCATTAGTTCTTCGTGCCTCCTTTTCCTCAACTGGATATGCTTGACCCTATTAAGGGTGTTGTGCAACTATAAAGGCAAGGCGCAATTTCCCATCTTTCTGTATGCAGAAATTAATCTTCTGCGTTTCCGGCTGACTGAATGCACGATTGCGTCTTTTTGGACACGTGTGGTTCCCTCGCCTTGGGGAGTAAGGAAAGCAATAGGCTGATGGACCTGATGGTAGAGGTAGTTTACGGCACTGCACACATTATTAGATAGGAAGAATGCGTCCGAATCCGCTGATCGGATAAATTGTTGGAATTGCTTCCAGTTTATTGTATGGAATACATATTACGCAATAAAAGCGTGTTTGATAGCCTATTTGACGCAGAAAGTTAATCATACCATTTTGTGGTCACTACAGTAGAGTTCGTCTAATACCTCTGTTTGTGCATTTGTGACCCGCAAAGTGTATATGAGGTCGAGTATACTGGTCGCTCTTGTTGGCTCAGTAACCCACTGTATCCAGCCACCAATACTGCGAGCGGAAAGGAAAGCTGTATGTGTAGACGATGAATGTGGAGGGGACCAATTAATCTTTGGTAGTTTAAAATCACCAGCAATTATCTTCTGTTTGTGTGGCATCTCAGCAGCAAACTCGAAAGCTGTAGTGATGATGGTAACACTTGCAGTTGACGCGGTTGGCGGGTTGTAAACAGATCCAAGTAAAAGCTGAGAACCGGTTCCTGAGACGAACAACCAAAGCGATTCGGGAAGCTTTATTACCTGTGGATGATCAAGAAGTTCTGATGCAAATGTACAGTGTAGGTATATCATGCATCCACCTTCTTTGCCTGTGCCGCGATCTTTACGGAAGAGCTGATAATTAGGAATCATTAACGTGGAGTCTAATGTATCAGGGGAGCACGACGTTTTAGTAACGAGGATTGCTTGTGGGTCGTTGATATGCGCAAGCATGCCTAGGAAGTACGATTTGTTGTAGAAGTATAGAAGTATAGGAAACGGACTATTGGGTATGGGGTCATCGTGTTACGATTCGTTGTTATACGCGTTGTTGTAGCCAGGTATTATGGACGCAGGAGATATGAGTGGGAGTGCTGGGGTCGGGTCTACGCTAAACAGGCGTGGTGATATGTGTACTGTGTCAGTTGTGTTAGCCGATATTGCTGTGAACAGGTAGGTGTTTCAGGGAGCAAGTCTAATTAATCTGCGATTGGCGTGACAGTTGGCTAGCCGAGTCACGTGCAAAAATTTCAGGAACAGTGGGAACAAGTAGTTGGCTTCTGAAGGGTATGTATGCAGTGGGAATGGCCGCGGCTCCATTCCCTCCTGTACTAAAGAAGGGTCGTACTCAGGAGTGTTGGAAAGGGCTGCACACATATTAGACGGAATGGAAGTGGCCTTGGCTTCGTGCCATAGTTTATTCTATAATTACAGAGCTTGTTTTTGTGATACGGAAGGAAATTATAGCGAGGGTTATCCAAATGACATCTTTTCCGGTTTCTGTGGACTCAGGATGTTGCTTCATAAAGTGTTTTGTGATGTATGTTGGTAGATCTTGTTAGTTGCTACCATGTTCATCACAGGCTTAAATTTTTTGTTGCATTCGGTGAGTGGCTGTGGGTTCTCTACATAATTGGATTGACTGCCCATGAGGGTCCTTTGAGGGTTGAGTTCCACTTGCGACACTGCCATAGGGCCCTTGATAGTCAGCTCTTCCCAATGGGTAGAAGTTACTCCAGCATTTATGAACGCTGAATTCAGTTCAGTTGATTCAGAGGCGTCAAATTTGGGAAGGTAGTAGTAATCAGGCGTTTGCTTAGGTGACATTGCGGTATCGTCAGGAACAGTGGTGACCGAGGTCCTTATCATATGAGGTAAGTTGTCGTGATCCACTTCAACGTGCCCAGTTACCACATTAAATAAATTATCTTTCTGAGCTTTGGTCTGAGAACACTTAACCCAAATAGCCGTTTGAGCTGGTGATTGTGACGAAGTATCACTAAGCGATCATCGTAGAGACGTGCGATCTGGTTTAATCAATAGGTTTTTGAATTGGGTCCGCTGGGCTATGGGGAGCTGACTACGCAACAATCATTTCGCGGATTCCTCAGTTCGAAATTTAAAAACGATCAGGCAGCAGTTTTTAGGTGTTTTCTTACTCTGACCAAGGCAGTTGTATTCAATCTCGGACATGTTGCAGGCCCTAAGTACTGCGGTTTTAACTTCACCCAGGAATGTTAAATCGACCAGATTTTTCAGTCTATGCATTCGTTCATATATCGGACGCAATTGTGGCGATTAGCTATCCTGTTTTTTATGTTTGGGTTGGATCAACGCTTTCTTCACACACGCTTGACGTGCGTGCTCTCTCCATCTTCTCGCAGCGTTATCACTGTACGCTCATTCGAACCGGATTTACCAGCCCTACACAGTGATCCATCATACGTGGAAATATCTTCTACGATTAGAGGCTGTGTCATCACAAACCGTTTCACTGGCATCTGTGATTAAGCGCAAGCGGTTAACTCAATCACCTTGAGCCGATTGACTTTCTGTGTGACACCATTCTACACAGAATTCTCGATGCAGGCCGAAAAGCCTAAGCTTATTCCGATCCAGTGTTTCAACAAAGCTGTGAAAGAATCTGTGATCTGTCAATCTGTGTTCAGCGCTCTGCTCAGGTTCCAGTCACTCTACATTCCCTGTGACCTTGTCAGCCAGTGCGGCTGCATAACCCAACACACGGACCGCGCGACCACGCCGATCGCTCATTTGACCTTGCAACCATCACGCTCACCTGACCGATGTGCGCCGCTCTCAAAGCTGTAAAAGTACAGAACGCTAACCAACCCACTGGGTCAGGTAACGACACCAAATTGAATGGCAGAAAGGCGAAACCGAAGAGACTCCAAGCGAAAGGAATTTGCGGGTTAGGAAAATGTCACTGAGTGGTAAAAAATCGGTCTGGCTTGTTCGCACTGTTTGTAATGGTACCATACGAAATGTGAAAATGTGTCCCAACAACAGTTACGGGAGCGAAGTAGCTCCCAAGATGCATTTTGGTTCTGTACTACGTGTTCCACCACCCCCTCGTTAAGTACCTGCTTATCCTAGCTGAGAAATGCGACCGGTTAACCGCAGAAGCAGAGCAGAGGATAAACAATAAGATTACTTCAATGGAAGCGAGTATGGACCACAGAAGCGTAGCGGCTTCTAAGCTACGGAATGCTGAACAATCCACTTCCCTTGAACCGCACTCAGCCACCTCTCCATCGTTGTCTTCTCCAACTTTGGTAGAACGCCGGGCGAAAACAAACTGTACCTATGAGAATCAAACAGTACTCACGACAACGAAAATCAGGCACCATTCAAAACGTCTGGTTAAGCAAATTCCACTAGACCTGACATCTAGCAGTAACAAGGATGAAGCAGCCAAACACCAACTCTTGGTACCTGTAGCTCAAATATCTCTTGTCGAGACTAAGCCTCCCAGAACATCGGTTACATATGCAGAGATTGCTGCAAGGGTCCACCGAGAGGCCGCCGTTGCGTCCTCTTCCATTGTAAACACCGTTGACGCGAATAGAGAAACAAACTGACGAGAGCAATCGAAATGTTAACATATCGCAACCTCTGTCTTCTTACTGCGTTAATGAAGTGGCTGAAGGGGACTCAGTGTTTCAAGTTTCTTAAAAGAAGACTCCCCGCTGACGTTGTGAGGTCATTGGATCGATTGTTGTCGTTGCGCTGCAAGATCATGGTGGAACGCGTACGGGTTAAATTTTATCAAGAATGTATCCAGTCAGGTCGATTTCCATCTCGGTTTGTTAAAACTCTGTCGAAAAATAAGCTGCCCGCTAACAGTGTGAATCTAGCCAGGATTGCGTCCGCACATATCGAGGCTTGCATTGAACGAGAACATAAGTTCCTGGAGACACAAAAGCGATTCGCGGTTGTTTTGAATGGCTTGTCACTTGTCTGCCGTTTCAAGTTTGAGGCATTTTCTGCTGAAACTCTCCAGCGTACTAGGACCAAGACCCTGCGCGGCCTTCAAGGTACCCTTGTGAGAGCGGCTAACATTCCTTTCCCTACCGAGGGCCAGAAGCATGTGTACAATCTGTCTACAGCTCGGTTCACGCGAGAACAGTTGGAGGTTCTTTCGCTGGGATTGAAATACCGAATACCGCCGAGGAATGTGGACAGGATCCACACACAGATTAATTTCGAATATCTGTACGATCAACTCAGCGACCTATCGCCGAAATCAACGGATGATGCAGGATGGTTTCGGGCAAAATTAGTGGATATCGCGCACCAGTTCCAGAACGCGCCTATTAGTCAGAGGTGTTGCTTGAAATCGGAACACTATGTTGCAATCAAGGAGCTGCAGAAAATGAAAGATGTAATTTTCCTGCAACCGGATAAAGGCACGGGTGTAGTAATAATGGACAAAGCGGATTACACCGCAAAAATGGAGTCGATTCTCGGAGATGGACGCAAGTTTCGTATTGACAAGACGCTGGACAACAATATCTTGGTGGAGAAACAAATTACGAGACATCTACAAATTCTTTTGCTTCATGGTTATATCTCCGAGTCACAATATCGGCAGCTAAAACCGACAGGGACAGAAACACCAAGAATGAGGGGTGCGCCGAAGCTGCACAAGGCGGGAATTCCACTGCGCCCAATAATGTGTATGAATAACTCACCCTACCACAAAGTAGCCCGGTGGTTGGCAAAGCTCCTAGAACCCGTGCGTAAGCTCCTGAGCACGCATTGTTTGAAAGACTCCTTTGAATTGGTGAATATACTGGAACGAACAACACTTGACGCGGAGCTCATGTATTCAATAGACGTGGAATCACTGTTCACGAATGTGCCCCTACGTGAAACGGTTGACGACCTATGCCAATTTCTTTTGAGTCGGAACCTCTCTGTGGGCATTCCTCTAGAGTTCCTGCGAGACTTGATATTGGTGTGTACTGAGAATGTGCGATTTGAGTTTGAAGGGACGGCATACAAACAGATTGACGGCGTCGCTATGGGCAGTCCTTTGGGACCAGTTCTGGCAGACATCTTCCTAGGTATGATTGAAAGGAAAGCTGCTGCCTGCATAGGTGAAGCCAAGCTGTACAAGCGTTATGTAGATGATATTCTCGTCTTCACTAATGGTGAACATTTTCATCGTCTTGCTGCCCTCCTGAACTCAATTCACCCGAACCTTTCTGTATCACAGGAGAAGGAACAAGAAGACAGACTGCCGTTTCTTGACGTGCTCATCAAGAGAAGGACCGATGGCACATTGCAGCGCACGGTGTACAGAAAAGCGACCTGGGGTGGACAATACCTACACTTTTCCAGCTTCGCCCCAGTTGCATACAAGCGCGGCCTTGTAAAAACTCTCTTCTACAGGGCCAGGCGGATATGCAGTCCGGAATTACTCAAGGCTGAAGAAGAGTTTTTATACCGGACTTTGCTAGCTAATGGGTATCCGGAGAAATTCATTCAGACCCATAGCAGACCCCCCAAGGAGAAGCTGCCCGTGCAAACTGCGGAGAAGAAGAATGTTTATCTGTTCTTACCCTTCAAGGGGGATCACTTAGCAAATGAAGTTGGTCACAAGCTCAGGTCCGCTCTAATGCGCACCTACTCTACCGCCCAACTACGACTTATTCACACCACACGAAGGATTCCTCTCCACATCCGTTCGAGCAGCGTGCCAATCAGTTCGGCCTCTAACATCATCTACCAGTTCACTTGCAGTTGCGGTGACACTTACATAGGCAAGACTGGTCGCCGTCTAGCTCAAAGGGTGTCGGAACATTTACCACTGTGGCTAAGGCAGTTCCTGTCTAACCAAGGCGGAGCGAAACAAAGACTGAATTTGAACCCTGCCTCTTCTATCTCCAAACATCTCTTGCTGACTCATAACTTGTAGATCAATGAAAATGGGCTCCAACAACAGTGCCCAGACTGTTGCATGCTCAAATGTCCCTGAATCTACCGCCATCACATTGCGGGATAAGTTATCAGACGACCAAGACCAATGGAACTCATTGTGTACGCAGATGAGTATCAAAGCCAAGCCCATAATTTTGTTACGAATTACTCGTCATCCGAACTCGCCACACTATGGTGAACCCAGACTTATTCGAGCCACTCTAGAATCCTCCACCGACGTAGAAAACGTTTTGCTCTCCGCAAGCGCGCTAAAACACGAATCCTGTGGGATACGTATCTATCCTGATGTCCCTTGGAGCGCGCGACAACCAAAACGAAACACCGAAGAGGGGCACAGCAAGCAAGATTGCCTAAACACAATCTTCATACATGGCGTGTCAGAACATCCTTCTAACGATGTTCCTTGTGACTTTGACTTATGTCGTAGACCACGATCGCCGCACTGACAATTCAGAAAATTTTGTGGGTGTCTCCCTACCTGCCTTTGATTCATGTAACCCTCATGTGTGGTTTTTACAACTGGAGACACTTTTCGCATACGTCGTAGTACTTTGCACCCTTTAGTGTTCGCACATGTCACGGCCCAGCTTCTCACCCACATTGCAACTGACCCTCTAGATTTGCTCGACCCGATTCCGGCGGACTCATCTTACGATAAACTGACAGCCGCAGTCTTGAAGCGCACCACGGCTGCCGACTAACCTAAACTTCCACAGTTACTTTCCGGTGTTGAACTAGTTGATCGCACACCGCACGACTCCTTAGGCACATGCGTAATTTGGTCGGTTCCTCTAAGATCGATGACACAATTCTGCTACAGCTCTGGACGAAATGTCTTCCAGCGAACACCTCAGCTCTTCTCACTGTGCTCGTAGACGATTTGTCTTTGTACAGGCTGGCCGTGAAAGCAGTTAAATTCATGAGTGCTTTCATAAACACGCAGTATGTCACTTAGTGAAGTCGACCCCAACGCCGATCTTAAGACTGACCCGACTGAAGCCATTCCGAAGGGTTATGGAAGCTGGAGCTCCCTATCTCGAGCATTAAGCGCTACCGTGGTAGAAGCACTGGACGCTTCTCTCGAACTAGACGTAGATCAGCCAGGAGCTAGACTAGTCATTCCTTTTGGTACCATCACCGTTTTGGCAATGGTGCAAGTAATTGTCGACCTGGTTGTGGCCACCCGAAGGCATTCCACAGACCGCAGTAGGGAACCTTCACGCCAGCTAGTGGTGGCAACAGCTGCTTCTGGCCACTCTTATGGTCGCCTACTTTACGTCTGCGATTCTTCAGCCACTTTTTACTTCTTGGTTGACACCGGTGCCAATGTCAGTGTTATTCCTCGTGAAGCTGACAAACGCAACCTAATTTCAACCAGGCTGACATTACAGGCGTCGAACAATACCAAGACCCGTACACACGGCCAGAAAATGTTGACTCTCAACCTTGATCTTCGTTGATGTTTTCCCTTTGTTTTCTCAACGCTGGCGTCCAACGCCGCCCCATTGGTGTTGCTTTCCTTATCAAGTTCCGCCTGATCGTGCACTTGTGTAAACGTAATCTATGCAATGTTTTGACACCATCGTTCGCTTCGAGTCGCGCCACTTCAATTAGTTTGAGCGACCTTAGCTTGGTATTACTCGCTGACAATGTGTTCATCAAACTGCTGCATTTTCCTGCTCTTTGTCCCTCGTCTAATGAGTTTTTGAGTCTAAGCACGAAAGTACGCAACACATCTTAACACACGGTCCACCAGTAACCGCCTGACCTCGACTATTATCTCCAGTCAAGCTGGCTACTGCCAAGTCATTCGAACAGATGCTTCGTCTGGGTATCGTTCGTCCTTCTGAGAGCCCATGGTCCTCCGCACTTCATATGGGTTCCAAAAAGTCTAGTGGCCACTGGATGCCTTACAGAGATTACGGGGAACTAGACACTTCCACCGTCTCCGATAGATATCCGAAGCCGCGCATCCATGATTTTTCAACCGATTTATATGGAAGAACCATTACCTAAGATTGACTTGGTGCTAGCATACGACCAAATTCCGTTTGATCTCGACGATATGCTGAAGACCGTCATGAGCACAACCTTCGGTCCTTATGAATTCGTGCACATGTCATTTGGTCTACGAAATGTCGCACAGGCTTCGCAAAGGTTTATTGAGCAAGACTTTAGAGGGCTCGACTTCGTATACGCGTACGTTGATGACATTCTTGTGACCAGTTCCAATCATTATGAGCATCTTTCACATCTCCGATCGACCTTCGAACGCTTTGCTCAGTACGGCCTTACGATCACTGTTCACCAAGGTATTTTCGGCAAAAGTTCTGTTGACTTTTTGGGCCACCGAAATGATTGCAACGCCATTAGTCCACTTCCCGAGAAAACACAAGCGATTGCAGATTACCCCACGTCGCAATTTTTCAAAAGTCATCGTCGTTTTCTCGGCATGGTGAATAACTACAGTTGTTTAATATCAGATTGCTGTGGGCTACGCCAGCCATTGACCGATTTACTTAATGGCAGGTCACAAAATTTCGAGCCTACACCAGAAGCTATTTATGCATTCGACAAGATCAAGCATGTGTTGTCCAACGCGTCCGCGTTTGGTCATATGTGGACTGACGTGGACACCCCACACATCCTTAAGACTGATGGTCCTCCGACCGCCGATGGGCTGTTCTCCAGCAGGTACTAAACGGTCAACCTGAACCGCTAACCTTTTTCTCGCGCAAACTTCAGCCAGCACATAGGCGATACGGCACCTTTGGTCGAGAGCTTTCAACTATCTACCTCGCTATCAAACATTTTCGGCATTTGCTTTTAGGTCGCTCGTTTACCATTCTTACAGACCGCAAACCACTTGCCTTCACTTTCCGTGGTTCATCAGACCTTTTCACTCAGAGAAATTTGTCAGTTGGATTATATCACACAATTTTCGATCGACATTCACCACATTGTTGCTGCCAACAGCGTTGTCACCGATGCCATGTCGCGTATATGTCTTCACGAAGTTTCAAGGCAGTCTATTAATTTAGCAGACATAACAGCCCATCAGAAAGGAGCTCTTGCTTGTGCAACTGAGATTAAAGCCCTAGAGCAAAACATCACAGTTGACAATCTTTAACTCAGACTCCAAAAGTTACCATGATATTTCTACCGGCTATCCCGGCCTATTTGTCCCTCAGCAAAACCGCCGAAACTTCTTTGATCACCAACATGGATTCGCACCCCCGAACATCAGACCCACCGTCAAGCTGATTACTGATTGCTTCATTTGGCATAACAAACGCTCCGAGACATCGCAGTGGGCAAAACACTATTTCACTTTCCAAACCATTAAGATCCACCGTCACTCAATTACCATCCCCGGTACGTTTGCTGTTCCCGACGCCCATTTCCGGCATGTTCATCTTGACATCGTTGGGCACTTGCCTCCATCAGACCGTTTTGTCTACTTACTTGCATGTGTTGCTCATTATACGCTTTGGCCACTTGCCGTACGTCTATGGGGTCCTTCTACATAAAGTGTGGCGCGAACATTCATGGAGAATCGGATTTCCGTCTTTGGCACGCCAGGCACTATTACTACTGGTAGAGGGCCCCCATTCAATTTCGCCTTGTTTCTTGACATGAACCGCTTCCTCGGTTGTTCACAGCTAAGGACAACCGCCTAGCACCCCGCTGCTAATGGCATTGTTGTGCGTTTCCATCGCCAACTAAAGCTGCACTTACCGCTTCACAGTGGAACACCACAATGGTCAGAGAACGTCTACCGATTATGAAGCCTTGCGCTTGGTCAACCGAAGGACACCATAAAAAGAAGAGACAATGGCCTAGAATGTCCCAGCTGAGATAGGTCTCTTTGTTGCACTACATCTCAGAGTCATCCTGCGGAGAAAGTATGCTTAGATCTCACAGTGTGTATTTACCTGGAGGATAAGTAGGATCCGACCCACTCGAACGTCCACACGCCTGATGTGTCAGCACTCAGTTTCAATTCAGATGCTGTCCAACGCCACCTCGGAAATCAGTGCGCTCGAAACGTATCACAGGTAGCCACCTGCAATTGTGCGCACCTTGGCGTTTCGCCTATCGTTGCTCCGTGCGCGCTCGATTCCGTCCGTAAAACCGTCTGACACGCGAAAAACCTTGGCTTTACGTAGGAGCCCCATCAACGGTTGTTGAACCTGGAAAGATAAAGTACGCTCGGTGGTGCTTGGAATAGCGATAAATGGTTCTGCAGGAAACTGATGAGAATAAATGGACCGGCAGAAGCCTGAGGAGTAAACATCGAGAGTCGCGACCTATACAACCGAGACCGCACAGAACAATTCCTGTCATTGTGACCATGCCCCACCTATCCCAAGTACGACTAGCTCCTACTCAGCCCATGTCCTGACCACCCTCTGATTTACCTCTAACTTCTGCACGCCAAGCATCTCACGCCACAAACACTCGAAATTCGTGCATCAACGTGAACACGCTTCGGGACGTACAGTTGTTCTAGCCTTCTCCAGACTACGGTAAATGACACCCCAAGT